GAAATATCCGATCAATTTGGCTCAGTGGTCCCCTTGGGACATAAGGTTCTTTTATGTGCCGTAAAGCTACGACACGGGACCCACTGCTTAAAGTCCCCCCCCCCGGAGGACTTGTTCCCTGAAATTTTCCACCCTTAAAAATTGCACAACCTCCGCCGGGTTTGAACCCGTGTACCTTGAGTCATGAGGTGGGAACGTTACCCCTAGACTACGGAGGCCTCTATGNGTTCCTATCTCATAGAATTTAAGAACAATGATGAATAAATCATTTTCAAGCAAAATTTAAATGGCCGGCTGAATATATTACCGCCGGAGACGCGGCCGCGGAATTTAAATGACCGCGCCAAAGGGTTAATAACAGGAATTCAGATACTAATGAGCATACTGTGGGTACATTTTCATTAAAAGTGAAAAGTCTCTTCATTAGCTGATTTACACATACACATTTTCTTATGCACTTAGCGAACTGGTGAATAACTTTCAACCAACTGTATTAAGCAGTCCCTTTTTGGGAACCTAAAAGCCACTCAGCAAATCTAAACATTTATATACAACATATAGACTAACCTTAATGAGTTTATGCTGCTGCAGTGTCTCCCGAGACACATTCAGAGGAAGATCGTCAGAATCCACTACACCTTGCACAAAGTTAAGGTAGTTGGGCATCATGTCATTGAACTCATCTGTGATAAATACCCGTCGCACATACAGCTGAAACACACAGAAAAGGTATCTGTAAATATATATATAAATTATTATAGAAGCTGTTTATATCCTTAAATTATGACATTTTCTTACAAGCCACAGCCATAACTTGTAATATGAAACAACGATGAAGAAAAAAGATGAAAAAAGTTACAGAAAACTTTAAGAACTTAAGAATCCACACGATTTCCTCCTTTCTGTGGGACCTCTTGATAAAATGAGTCTGGAGTATCCATCAATGATACAGAATAGCTCAGTCTGCACAGCAAGGGGCTATAGGCTGGATGGCTAAAGTTGAAATCCTAGAAGAGGCAAGAATTTTTCTCTATTCCACAGCATCCACACTGGCCCTGGTGTGTGAAGCTGACCTCAAACCTCCATCTAAAGCCAAGGTCAAGAATGGTCACTTTTACTCCTCTATATGGCTTCATGGCAAGGTGCTTAACTAAGCATAGCAACAATATCGTCTTTATAAATTTACCTGTAGTAGCCATTATCATTCTTGCCATTGTGATGTATACATCTATCTGTTGTTCTGTCAAGTTGTTTGAGTCACATGAGCATAATATTGGAAGCATTTCTGTTGAAAACATGGTGTAGGTATCTAAAATGCTCACAGCTCATCAGTGTCAATCACTTTAATGTTAAATCTTCTGCAGATGGTGCAATTAAATATCACCTCTCCAAAAAAATTATGATCATTGCCCAATTTATATAATTTCCTTTAACTGACAAAATTATCACCCACATAAATAATATATTTCTTAAAATAAATACCTATTTCAGTAACGTATACTGTCTTGAAAATTTGTGTCACCATCTGTTCTAATTTTTATGGGTTAACTGTTTAGATGCAAATGGAGGGGGGGGGGGGAAGAGATGGCAAAGATGATTTGCTTCTAAGCAATAACAATGAGATGTTCTATCACAGCCCATCAAAGGTTATGCCATGTTAGGTGGGTCCCTTGTCAGCATGGCATGGCACATCCTCGCATTGTGGATAGAGGAGACGGCCTCCAGAGATGGAGGGCATATTGAATAATCAGTTTCAGACAGCCAACAAGGAGTAATCCTCCAGCTTGGGGGTTAGGTTAACAATTCCTCATCATAAAAAATAAGCTTGTTATGAAAGATCACAAAAAGCTGAGGACAGGGACCCATGCAGGGCTCTTGTGAACACTGTAATGAACTTTCAGGTTCCATAGAATGCTGGGAAGTTCTTGAGTAGCTGCACAATTGGTGGCTTCTCAAGAAGGGCTCAGGTCCATTAGTGAGTGAGTGACCAAAAGTTATGAAACCTTGTGCTTACTGAACTGTCAACAAATCCCTCAAATAATCCAATATCCTAACTTTAATACATATCCTAATGAAGAATAATTTTTACAGTTTTTGTATATAACCTTACCTTAATGTTGTCAGTTTTACTGCCATACTTGTTGAAAGTCTCGCCAGGTTGATTCTGTGGTACGAAGAGGACAGATTTGAAAGTCACCTCACCCTCAGCAACAAAATGAACTTTGGTTAAAGGACCTTTGTGATCCTTTGTCAGTGACTTGTAAAATTCATTGTATTCATCATCACTAATTTCACTTGGCCTGAAAAGAGTAAACATACGGTATGTTTCTTATTTACGATTAGGATATATTTTATACGCCCTGCTATTTCCAATACACCATGTGAGTTCTCTGAAGCCTCTAACCAAAACCCAAGCTATGGCAATCTTGTCAAAGAAGGGCTTGAGTGCCAACAGATGCAACATGAGTGCCGAAAGCATTTCTGACTACAGACACATATACAAAATGAACCTTTATTAATATGTTCAATAAAGAATGACAATATTTATTTTTTTTTCCTCCTCTTGCACCCACTGTGGAGCATAGGGCTGATTTCTCAGTTTCACTGATCATTTTACAGGCGGTAGGACTCCTTGGATGGGTGAGGTCTCACATTTTCTAGACAATCGGCTCACAGATGGCAGTGAGGTTGTCAGCTTTATGCGACAACCGCCCTTTACCCCCAAGAAGATTCCTGGTACTCATTTCTGTTAGAGGCTGAGTCCACACCAGAGCCATAGTGCGGCTGGAAGAATTTGGTAAACTGAAAAAAGAAATCCAATAACCTCATCGGGATTTAATCCTGCGACCTTCCAGCTTGTAGCATAGTGCCTCAACCAACTACGCTACTACGTGCCCCCTCTAAATTTTCTAATAAAAAAAATAAAAACTTACTTCCTTGTCCAGATTGGCTTGCTATCATTCAGAACTTCCCAATCCCAAACTGTTTTCTCTATTGTCTTGGTCTTCGGTTTTTCTTCTTGCTTATCCTCTTCAACTTTAGTATCATCATCTGCTTCATCAGCTTCTTTTTCAGTGTCATCCTTGGTTTCAGGTTCATCTTCTTCAATAGGCTCTTCCACCTTTACAGTCTGCAACATGACCATTTTCACAATGAAAATAATTAGCTACAAAGTTTGCTAGGCAAGTCTGCTGAAAAGCAAAACATACTTGTGATAATGGCTTCATGCAAGCACACATTCAGGTTCCAATTTGTCCTTAGTTTTAATAAGAGCAAATATTAAATTCCATTAAGTATAGTATGACTGGAACACGACAATTTTCCAGGGCATATTAAGGTTTCAAACTACTGTAACGTGTTTGGAGTAGACACTCCCGTGGTAACGCAATAACAGTGGGCTGTTGAGTAGGAATTGCACAATCAATGAAGCAGCATTTCCCTGGTGATAGACAACAGAAGGTTCACTGCGTAGCAATGGTTGCCGGCATTCATCGAGACAGTATTGGGATAGCCGTCGCCAAAGACAGTTGAGATCCAACCACGGCCAAGGATAGTTGAGACGTCGCATTGGGGTACTGGGCCAAAAGCCAAGTGATAATTAAGTGTGAGTGTCCAATAAAGATTCACTAAATCCAAGACCCATGTGAAGTTATTTGTCAGGTGACATACCCAACACGTAACACTATCACTAATGAACCAAAATTGAATTGTGACAGTTTCCAGTACAAAATTTCATAAAAGTCATCCAGCATGGTTGGGACATTTTATGCCAAATGATACAATTACACCAACATATAGTCAAACTTACTGACACCATCACTAAATAAACTATAAATAAATAAATTATAATTACACTTTTTCACACATTAAAATTTTGATATTGACTCAACTACACATTAAGTTCTCCAAAATTACAAATCTGAAACTGCTGGAACATCTTCAGTTTTCAGTTTAAATTCATCAGGGCCATGCTCTATTGCCATTCAGTGACTTTACCTATCCAAAGTTAAGATTTTTAAGTCACATGGGCTTTTACTGTCAACAGCAACACACACATAAAGTCAAGTTTTCTGTTTCACTTCTCACATTGGGCTACATTATGATTCCTCTATAAGACAGCTGTGAAAGTAATTTACTTTAATAATAAAATATTCCCCTTTTCAGATCATCACTGCCATGCACTGAAAGATTATAAACAGTTTCTCTCATTCTATTTCATCAAAGTGATGAAATGTGTATTGTTATATATAACAAATACAGGGACGGTAAGCTGTATAAGAGCTTAGAAAAAAGAATCTACCTGAGGTTGATATGATGACAGAGGTCAGATTTCCAAAAGCGATTGCACATTATATGTTTAACCCCTCAAGCCAGCATTTAAACTCCTACTAGCCGCAGTATTTAAATGGCAGTGAACCTCACAGCCTGATGATGATGTACTCGGGATACCGGCTTGAGGGGTTAAACTGTAGTCCATAATGAAATGGGAGGGGGGGGGGAAAGTAAAGGTATCCCGGTGACAGGCCGTCGAGGCTCATAGGGTTGTGAGACGCCAAGGTTCCCATGTTTTCTAGACAGATGGCAGTAAGGTTGTCAGCCTTATGTGCTGGCTGCCCTTTATCCCCAAGAAGGTTCCTGGTACTCATTTCTGTTAAGAGGCTGAGTCAACCCCAGGGCCATAGTGTGGCTGGAAGGATTAGGTCAATTGAAAAAATCCACCGCATCGGGATTTGATCCCACGACCTTCCAACTTGTAGCACAGTGTGGCCTGCATTAACCTGTCATATGTTGCAATGGTGCTACTTTATTAGCAACAGTCTTTCCTCAACGCTGCATAAGTTATAGTTGAAATTTTATGTAACACTGCCTAATGACAGAATAGTAACATATTACTTAAGCCTGGAAATGTTTATATGAATGAGAAGCAATGCAGACAGGTTGACGTAAGAGGAATTTCTGCATGCAGAAAAGAATATATTCTAACTCATACCTTGCTGCTCCAGAGATAAATGGGGAAATTAATGAACTGGGAATACTTCTTAACCAGATTCTTCAGTGTGTCAGTTTCCACAAAATCATATGCCTCTTCTTTTAGGTGAAGACTGAAACAGAACAAATTTAAATTTCATGTTTATGGTTACAGAGCTCACTGAATACTATTTCAGAGCTGGTGAAACGTGTTTCTTTTGGGGGGAGGGGGGTGAAGGGGTTACTAAAATGTGAATACATTAACTAAATCAGAGCAGACTGTTCACCAACTTTTGCAGATAGAGGGTGTTGCGTGGTCAGTGCAATGAATCCCCATGACCATTAATTTCGGTTTTCTAGACCGGAGCCACTATTTCCTTGAAAGAACTCACTTATCCTTACAAGGCTGAGTGGACCCCATTCCAGACCCAATACTTCTCAGAAAATCTTGTAGCGCCTGGAATCGAACTGGGACCTCTGGATGTGTAGCCAGGAACTCCGATCACCAGACCAGAGAGGCGGTCATTTGTGACTGACACCAAATTATTACATAAAGGATGACATCCCACATAATCTGAGGTACTGAAAATACTGTATATGTATATTGGTTGCCATCAATGAACTTGTACTAGCACATGCCACTCCCATGCCATAACAAATAATTAAACTACGTTCAGCTACCTATTAAAAGAGGAGGACAAATAAAATGAAATTAATTACGTCCATTCCAACACACCTGACTTGAGTGCCCCGTTTCAGTGTAGCTCCTCTAGGATCCTCAACAATACTGAAGCTGGTCGCATCTGATTCCCATATATATTGTTTGTCATCATTGTGCTTGGTAGTCACCACCACACGTTCAGCCACTATGCAAAGCACGGGACACACATTATGCTATGCTTCCAGAAGGTGTGAGAGGGGTCACAAAAATGCAAAAATTGTAATACTGTCTTTTTATAATATTGTGACATAATGGTTGAAAGCTGGAACAGTGGAGCCAGAAGAGGTGCCCATTGCTAGGCAACAGCAGAGCACAAGACAATATTCACCCATGTATATTAATTTATGAGATGATGAGCTGGTATAGTTCAGATTAATGACTATGTGCTGGTTCAATTCCTAGCACAGGCATGGATTATCCTCTTCCTCAGACCACCATTACCACATTTAACTGGATGTGCCCTAGCAGTGGTTGTAACCACACCTCCAACAGGACACACCACAGGGGGGTGAAAGTCAACAAGATCTCCTGATCTTACTCCTGTAAGACTTTCTCCTGTGCGGGTTATGTTACAGAATGTGTTTACATTCCATCACTTCTGCATTTACTGAACTGAACAAAAACACTTCCAAAGCCAAGACATCAACAGTTTTGGTAGGTTCTGGAGTTTCTGTCGCATTTGAAATGCCGTTTAATTGGTTCTAACTCTCAAATAGGCCTTATGGATATAAATATGACCCCAAACTTTACACTATTTTCCAGATTATTATATGCTCAACTGTGAAACAATATCAACTACAAAATATTTATGAAATGAGATTTCTTACCTAAGAATGAAGAGTAAAAGCCAACACCAAACTGTCCAATCAAGTCATTCATGTCTTGAGTTGAGGTACTAGCATCCTGCATCTTACTTAAGAAATCAGCTGTTCCAGACTTTGCAATTGTTCCTAAATTATTGACTAGATCATTCTTGGTCATCCCAATTCCAGTATCAGTAATATGCAATACGTGATTATCTTTATCTGCCTGTAAAAAAAAATTAAAAAGATAAAGCTATCCCTGTAACAAGCCATGAAGGCCCATAGGGTTGTGAGACATCGAGGCTTCCACATCTTCTAGACAATTGGATCACAGTTGGCGGTGAGGTTGTCAGCCTTACGCGCCAGGCACTCTTTACCACCACGAACATTCCTGGCACTTATTTCTGTTAAAGGTTGAGTCTACCTCATGGCCACAGTGCAGCTGGAAGGATTAAGTAAATTAAAAAAAAAATCCAACTCTTTAGGATTCAAAACTGCAACCTTCCGGCTTGTAGCAGAGTGTCTCAACCAAATACGCTACTTTATGCCCCTTCTCAGAGTATAATATACAATTATTTCATTCAATATTGGTTAGTGGAAGAAACGAAAAAGCTTGTAGGTAGCTGAAAGGTGTAAGGCACAAAACGTTAACTGGAGGCAGAAATCAATTACAAGTGATTCTAATATAGTGATATACTTACTTATTTACTTACTCATGGAGCTGAGCCCTTCTGGAGAAGCCACCAATTCTGCAGCTACTCAAGAATTTCCCAGCATTTTATGCAACCTGAAGGTTCATTACCATGTTCACAAGAGCCCTCCATTAGTCCCTATCCTGAGCCAGTTCTATCCAATCCATACCATCCCATTATATCTCTCTAAGATCCATTCTAATACTGTCCACCCACCTATGCCTTGGTCCCCCTGTGGTCTCTTTCCTTTTGGCTTTCCCACCAATATCCTATACACATTCCTCATCTCCCCCATTTGTGCTACATGACCTGCCCACCTCATCCTCCTTGACTTCATCATTCTAATTATACTTGGAGAAGAGTACAAGTTATGAAGCTCCTCATTATGCAGTTTTCTCCAACCTCCTGTCACTTCATCTCTCTTCGGTCCAAATATTCTCCTCAACACCCTATTCTCAAACACTGTCAGTCTATGTTCCTCCCTTAATGTCAGAGACCAAGTTTCACACCCATACAGAACCACAGGCAAAATATAGTTTTGTATATTCTAATTGTTATGTTTTTGGACAACAGACGAGAAGACTAAAGGTTCTGGACAGAATGGTAGCGAGCATTACCCGAGTTCAATCGCCTCTTAGTTTCCTCCTGAATCAAGTTTTGATCTGTTATCATTGTTCTCAAATATCTGACATAACAAGTGAATATGTCAAAAACTGTGATAAATCTACAAGGTGGATAATCAACATTCTAACACATTTGTGAAAATGTCAATAGATAAGCATTTCTAAACAACTTATTTAATAAAAACAGAGGCAAAGCATAATAATCATTAATAAAATGTTACCTTTATCTTGATGGAAAGTTCTTCTGTGGCATCTAGAACTGATTTATCTGTAAGTGACAGGAGACGAATCTTGTCCAGTGCATCTGATGCATTTGAAATGAGCTCTCTAAGGTAGATCTGAAACCAAGAGATCGCACTGTTTAAGCCATCCCTCTTCAGACAGCTTGCAACAGCAGGCTTTACTCTTCCTCTTCCTTTGCACTCCATGATATGGGGAATGAAGCTTGTTCTGACTTCAAACACTCATTCCATCTTTCCCACAGAACTCTGATGTCCCAGCAACCTTCTGCTTTATACCACAGAACCTATTTCACAAGTTTTACTCCATTACACCAGTGGTGGGCAAACTACAGCCCGCGGGCCAGACGTGGCCCCCTGATAGGTTCTATCCGGCCTGCAAAACGATTCCTAATCTGACGAATGAAAAGAAGAATTAAGGAAAATAAATAATTCTGGATTATTTTCTTCTTCTTTCCTCCCAAATATGATATCTCATGCCCAGAAAGTCACTGCTATGTTTGCTTCATCCTATATATGTGAACAGGTGTTTTCTACATTGAAACCTCGAAAGAGTTGTATTAGAAACAGACTGACAGATGAGCACTTAACTTCACTTCTGAGAATCAGTGCATCCCAGTTCGAACCAGATTATGAGAAAATTTTGGAAATGCAGTCACAGTTTCATTCATCACATTCTCCTTCATAATCTTTCAATCATTACTAGGGCTTAGTATTACAAGAATTTTGTAAAATCTACCATTATTGTTTTTAATAAATTATATTGGCCGGCCTAAAGTTTTTTCTTTTTCCTTTGGCCCCCTCCTAAAAAAGTTTGCCCATCACTCCATTACACAAAAGCAGTTTTTTTAAATGTCATTATATTCTTTGAATCAAGACCATAAGACGACTGCAAAATGGATAGGTTGTGGCTGTGTGGCTATTCACACAGCTTATTTCTACATTTGGATTAAACTCTGTATAGGAATCTCAAAATGAACTTTGTGGATCCATCACACAAAGAACATGAATAACATAAACCACAGACTTCATTATATCAGCATATTCCAGTCTGGTTGATATTTAACAAAAGGAAAAATAATTTCTGATCAGGCACCATGAATAGCTTTGTGACAATGCATTTGTCTCCGCGATATAATGGGAATAATGCTGTCTCCTTTATGCTCCACCAAAGAAAACTAACATGTATGTCATCAGTAACAGATTTCTATAATTTAAGCAATATTTGTAGAAAACATGATCATGAATATGATTCAAAACATATATTTCATAAGATTTAGGTACTATGTCACATGGAGGGTTATTGGGACACAGTAACTGAAATGTGAACAGAGACCAATAAACCAAAGGAGTTACACTATTTCAAAGAGATAGACATACAGCTCCAAGACCACACATTTAACAGTATGAAGAAATAAATTACTACTGTCCATCACAGCATACTTATCAGCAATGAATGAAAAACTGACACAAATTAACAGTTCTACCAACTGGCTTGTAACACCATGTAGTCCACTGAAAGTCAATTGATGTTCCAAAAGACTACATGGTGTTATATGCCAGAAGATAAGCTCTTCATAACCACTGCTGTGAGAACCAAAAATCCTCTAAGACTAATTGGGGGGGGGGTCAAGCTATCCCTGTAACAGGCTGTGGAGGCCCATATGGTTGTGAGCCGTTGAGGCTCCCACATTTTCTAGAAAGTTGCCTCACAGATGGCGGTAAGGTTGTCAGCCTTATGCATCGGTCACTCTTCACTCCCAGGAAGATTCCTGGTACTCATTTCTGTTAGAGGCTGAATCAACCCCAGGGCTAAGTGCAGCTGGAAAGATTAGGTAAATTGAAAAATCTAATGGCCTCATTGGGAACTGAATCCACAACCTTCCAGCCTGTAGAGCAGTGCCTCAACCAACTACGCTACCACATGCCCCTGAAAAGACTGACGAGTTTAGTAAATCTGCAAAGAACACGGTCAGAAAATATATAAGCTAAAACTATAGTAAACCTTTCCAATCATTTCATGTTAATACAATCAACAATGAAAGTGGAAGCAATATGTGAAAGGACACTGCCTCCTGATACTGTACAAGTTAGACAACTCTCAAGGGCAAAGGAAGAAAAACATTTTCAATAGGGGTAACATTAATATTTCAGACTGAAGCATATTCAAGAATTTATGTAACTAAAGCATTAAAGATTAAAACAAGACAAGGAGAGGCTCTACAAAATTATCCTTTGCCAAAATTCACTAAACCAGAAGCGTTCAAAGTACATGTAAGTCAAATGTTAAGTTATTTAAGCATTTAAGTATCTACACACTACACTTCTGCTATGCTGTTCTATATACGCAGTTTTGCATCCTGTCAGGCTATGTCTGGAGTAACTGCCCCAAAATTCCACACAGAGGTACAGAAACTGGCCTGTAACATGTATGGACCACATTTCCTTCCCATATGAATGTATATCACTTACAAATTGAATCACTCATGATGTACAATGGATTTTACTCACTTCTTTGTTACGATATAAGGAGTTGATAATCAGCTTCATCATTCGGTTTACTTCAGCCTGGAATGCAAATTTCTCAGCTTTTTCTCGTAGCTCTTTCATTTGTGCCACATTTAGCCCATCGAGTTTTATCGCTTCCTCCTCCCGTTTCACGACTTCATCATCTGCAATGAAATATATTCACGAAACAACGTACTATTAAAAAAAGTATAAAACCCAATGTTCACAGGCTGCGTCAAAAATATGTACAGTGTCCTGTTACACAGCTCATCTGGCAAGCCCCACAAAATCTTACCAAACTGCTCAATCGTTATCAATTAGCACAGCATTTCTGTCAACAGATGGCATCCGTGTGGCATATGAATGTTTAGAGGAAAGAACACTTTCACATGATCTAAACATGTGGGCAAATGAAGGTCATTTGGATTTATATATACGTATCTTTCATCTACGGGAATATTGAAATACAAGGTTTACACGGTTCTCCATGGATCAACTTGACATTAATTTTAAATATTTTTAAGGATTCACCATTACATTTAATATAATGACTCAAATTATTCTAAAATATTTTTATGCAAATAAGGTAACAGGATGGGGTGGTAATGACTGGATTTATCTGGCCTAGGATAGGGAGCGGTGGAGGGCTCTTGAGAACAAGGTAATGAACCTAAGGGTTCCATAAAACACTAAGAAATTCTTGAGTAGCTGTGTAGCTAGCAGCTTCTCAAGCAGGTGTTAGCTCCATGAAGTTAATTAGTTACTATTGCAAAGTGTCTAAAGCTTCCTTTAGCACTGGTTACCTCTGAAGATGGACAATTAAGACACGTTGGGCTGAAAGATTACATACTCATTAACAAACTGGATGTACTTGTGGCTAATTCTGTACTTATCTCAATCTCACTGTGCGGGATTAGGGGACCCAAGAAAGTTAGGCAAATTGTGCTGTAATCAGTATTGTAAATCAAGTGCAAAATGGGTAGGATGGGAGAAACAATGTGCAGTTGAGTATGTCATAGCGAGGATGTGGGGGTATCAATAGTTTAAACAGCAGCTCAAGTAAACAAATATTATTTCTGTAGTTTACTTAGTGACACTGCTACTAACTCAAATTATACACAAAGTGACTTGGATAATAAATAATGAATTGGAAAGGATGTGGAAAAAATTTTTGTGATGGCCTAATTTTAGGCATTACCACTACACTTGCCCAGTAGAACTGAAGAAAAACCATACTAAAACTCACTAAGGATAGTCAGTGTTCCAGTTGAGATTCAAACCATAAACCTCCAGAACACAAGTCACAAGTATTACTGCTCAAACAAATACTGTCCTAAAAACAAAATGCAATACATCTATGCCAATTACTAAAAAGTGAAAGTAACAGCTATGTTAATAAAATAATAGTAACATAAGCTAAAAACAAAGGCAAAGCGATATCATACATCTGAAAAATGTACCAAGATGTTCAGCATCCTAAAACTGGGATCTACTTCATTGGATTTTATAATGAATGCAATGTAATCTAGAATCAATGGGATAAAAAGTTATCAATTTTTTATTATACAACCCTGACTGAAGTTATCAACTGCATCGATAGGAAAGTGCAGGAACAGAATAACTAATACTTAGCAAGGGGTTAGATTTCATAACTGAACAAAAGTTTTACATTACCAGTTCTAGATCCTTCTCTACTTGATCCAATATCAGCATCCACAGTTTCTGCTGTTGTTTCTGCAGCATCATCTGCACGTGAAAATCCTGCAAGAATGTTACAATGTAGATTATGTTATATGGATCTAACATGTCAAGTTTCTTGTGAGTTCCTGTCAAATTAAATGATATAGTACAAACAATTTGGTAATGAATTAAACAGTCCTGTGACATTATGGAACATGCAGTAGGCTTATTCTGTACACGTTAACAAATGGAACAAGTATACATAACGTGAGTTAAAGAACACTGCAGGTATACATAACGTGAGTTAAACAACACTGCAGTAAAGAAATGTTTAACGCAGACAATTAATATATGTATTTGAAATCAAAATACCGGCTCGTCGATCGCATGGTTGCAATGGATGTATACATACATAATTTTAAGTAGACGTACGTGAATGACTTACCTGCTATCAAGAGGATACCTAGAACGCAAAACAGAAACCCTTTCATTTCTGACTTCAACTGCTATTGCCTCCAAACGATACTACAGTTCTCTGAGGATACCTACGAAGAATAATCAACAAATACGTCTACTAAGGCTAATTTCCCTACTCGTACACCATGCACCAATAGCACACTACCACGCGTACGGAATTTAGCCAATAATCAGAGTGCAGAACCTTCTGGACGTCCAATCAAATTAAAATGGGTGGTTGCAAATTGTCCAACTGGCTAGCTTTTATTGGTTAAAAGCACGAGGGAATTTTAACCATAGGATTGTCAGCGTTGCGATTTAAAAAAAATGTTGGTATGCTCCGTTTCTTTAAGAGTGTATTCTTTTTAAAAGTGTTATAATTTTGACGCCTGTTTCGAATATATATGAAAATTAACAGGTAGTCGAACTTTAACCGCTGCCTCCTCCCTTTCGTCCATAGATGGCAGACTGAGGCAAGCGATATTACGAGAGTCTCAGATTTAAGTTAAGATCTGTATTAGGAATCGCGGAGTTACCGCTATTATAGAATAAGGCATTTATAAGAATGTGCTGCAGAAGGCCGGTTGGGCATTGTCCAGGCCTTTTTTGAATTTACAATATTTTTTTCTGCAATAAAAAAACGAGGGAGAGTTCATAAATATGTCACAAATGGATATGAAATATAAAACATATTACATTTGAATCCAGAAAACAAAAACATCTGTTTCTTGACATATCCTCCACAACATTCACACATTTGTCCAACTGCTTTACCAGTTCGTCAAATGGTGGAGCTATACCTTCAATCTCCCATAGGTTTTCATGGGGTAATGTTTAATTAATTAAGCACAGGGACAGCTGTATACCTTTCCTCTATAAACCTTAGTTTTAGTTAAGTTTTGTCTGCTGAAAACTTCGTGGAAGGTCAGAGTGTATTTACTTTTGTTAAATGTTTGGTAAGGAAAAAGAAAAAAGTTTCAACTATAAGTATTTTTTAATTGATATTTGTAGTAGACATACATGAAGAGCACTAACAAATTGTAAACAATATTAATTGTAAGAAACAGCAAACTTTAAATGCATGGAGCAATGATATTATTAGTTACTTAATTAATAAAGAAGTTTTACGCCTTTTTGATCCTGTATCCTGAAGGTCTACCACTGGATCCTACTTGTGTCAGATGTATTCAGTCCAAATTCTCACTCTTTATTTCCCTAAGAATCATTTTAACATTATCATCCCACCTGCATCTATGTCTCCCAAATGGTTCTTCTCTTCAAATTTTTAAACTAGAATAATTTTACATATTTCTCATTTATTTCAGATATGCTACAAAACCCCACCATCTCATTATCTTTAGCAGAGACTTAAAATAAGTGCAATTCAGAACCAAGTACTCCCATTTGGGTACTCGTGCAGTACAAGAGCTTTAAATCTAGTAGAACATAAAACCTCTTGCCCATTCAATAAAATCTCTAAATGGTTTTCTTGGAATTAGCTATATACATTTATATTATGTAGCTTATGGCAGAGTCTTTGTAAGCTTTGCATGTGCAAGGCTGTGAAAGTGGGTAGATACAGCACTCCACTGCAGGTCCAGAACTATGCTTTCACACGTACATAAGCATGAGAGAAACAGAGAGAAAGTAGCAAACTTGATACTTCGTTTTGTAAAATTGTATTTCCACATAACCTGAGTGAGCCGTAAATTTGCCATGGAAAGAAACTGTTATTTATCATGATTACTGGGATTAGTGGTACCTTATCATGATGTGCCAGTATTCAATTATGGCAAAGACAAGCTCTCAGTATAGAGTAAAAAGAAAAAAAAACATGCCTGTAACAGGCTGTGAAGGCCCATAGGGTTGTGAGATGTCAAGGCTCCCACATTTTCTAGACAATCGGCTCACAGGTGGCGGTAAGTTTGTCAGCCTTATGCACCTGCTGCCCTTTACTCCAGAAAGATTCCTGGTATTCATTTCTGTTAAAGTTTAAGTTGACCCCAGGGCCACAGTGCAACCGGAAAGGTTGGGTCAATTGAAAATACAATTACCTCATCGGAAATCGAACACGCGACCTTCTGGCTTGTAGCTTAGTGCCTCAACCAAATATGGTAACAAGTGACTTCCCAGTATAGCATACCTACTAATACTCGTATAATAAACACTGCATGTACAGACTGTCATATATATATATTGTGACATGTTGAACCCTACCTCCCCAGCGGTACGTGGCGGTAACGTAAGGCTCGCGTTACTACGGTAATAGGCGAGTTCCCGCCCCGCCACTCCCCTCCGCGGTGACGTCACCGAGGGATTCGCGGTCGCTAGGCAACGCGAGTCAACAGCGGCGACGTTACGATAGTAACAGCGGTTACCTCCGCTAGCGTTACATAGCAACACAGCGCCAGGCAAAAAGGGTGCCTATTACGTGGCCGTATTGTTCGATCGAGGTTACATAAGGAGCAGCGAAGGCTATTCACAGTCAGTTGTGCTAGTGAGTTGTACTAGCGAGTTGTACTGAGTCAGTCAGCGAGTCCTGGACCTACCGCCGAGTTAGCCAGCAACCAGTCAGTTGTATTGTGGCATTTGGAGTGTACTAACTGTGATACTGCAGAGGGCAGTAATCGTAAATCTGTAATTTGGGTGATTGTGAGAGCGGATGTGAAATAAAATTCGCTATATAAAATACGCCGTGAAGTTATTTGTCGCGATATACGCACGATACGCGACAATATATATATATATATACAAAATGTGTTGCCTCTCCCAGTGAGCATCATGGACAATGGTTGATCCTCAAGATCCTCAAGACCCTCAAGACCAGGGGATGGCAACTCAATGCTATTGGCGGGCAACACAGCCAGCGTGACGTCATGAAGCATCACTGCTGCCGCGGTGGCCAGCTGCAATTCTCTTAACAAAAAAATGCTGCAGCCAGTGCCGAGGGCTCGGTCGGTAAGAAGGTATGCTATCATACCACCTGCCCTGTCGGTAAGAAAGTATGCTATTATACCACCAACATTTTTTTTACTTCTCCGTCCCAAAAAATCGCTGGTTCACACATATAGCTAGAATTAATAATTGATGTAAATGAAATGTTCTTATTTTACAGGTACTGGTGAGAAACTTTCTCCCAATAAATGT